TCTATCACCATTATCTATCACAGGCCTTCAAGGTGTCAGTAATTAAACTATTACTTAAAAAGCCATCACTGTAGCTGTGAAGCTAATTATAGGCTAATCTCCATTTGTCTTTTATCTTAAAAATTTTTGTAACACTAACTGTAAAACAGCTAACTGATCATTTGCAAAGGTTAGTAAGGTAGTTTACTATAAGGTTGTTTATTAGCTCCTCTTACTTTTCTTTAAAGAGTACTGGAAACCACATACATTATAATATACTCTTAGAAGTGAAAATGAATAAAAAGAGAAACAAAGAAATCCATACACATCTATAATATTACACAAAAAAATTTAATTTTGGCTGAACTGATGTTTTCCATATTTATTTATTAATTTTAAAATTGAACATCATCTATTAAAACTGGCTCTGTGGTTATAGTTGATAAGACAGTTGTGCATATCTGACAACTGAGCAGTACATGATGCACATGCTGTCAGCAGTTGTGTTTGTGAAACCATGGTGTGCTTGATGTACTGTACATAGAAGTGCCAGGCTGTCAGACGATCTATTCATCCATAATGAAACAGTGAAGCCCCCCAGCACGATGGCTACCAGCCCTCTTCGCCTCTTCAAAAGATGTGTGAAGATGGCATGAATTATAAATACCCCCTCCACTCTAACACCAAAACCGTGTTTATGGGAGTGTGTGATGAGCATAGGAGGACATGGATTACATATTGGTATCCTGGGTTAGATCATTTTAGAGTAATGGATGAGAAAGTGAAAATGTGATCAACATGGGTTTTTAAAGTGCAATTAAATATTTATTTTAAGAAATAAAGTAGTAAAAGTTTAGTTGGGGCTAAATATATTTTAAAGCAAAACTGAGGGTAAAATGCTTGCATTTGACTAGTGTGAGCTGCAGTCCCATAAGCAGTAGCTCTAAGAGGTGAAGCTTTAAACAGCCAGTGTTTGAACCAGTGTGCAACAAGAGCAATTGTAGTATGTATCCTCCTTTTATTTGTTTTTGTATAAACATGAATTCACTCATAATCTGACCAAAATATCACATTGTAACACATACTCGCCACCAGATCGCAAACAGAGGACAGACTCTGCCCAACATGTGAAGTTCTACGTATCATCTAAAAATAAGAAACACTTGCACGGAGTATTCAAAGCCAAAAAAGTGAAGTGCACATCTGCTCCTTCAGTGTGAGGATCAAAAAGGTTTACTGAGTTTTTCATGGCTCCACTCAGAGCAACACAGAGTCTAAAGATGAGTTCTGTCAGCCTGCAGTCGTCACGTTGTTTGGTAATGCACTGGCAAAATCCTCACATCTTTGCCTAATCTCCAAGCGCCTTTCTTTCTGTTTGCTCTGAAGCTCTACCTGATGTAAAAAATAAATAAATGAATAAATAAATAAATAATACATGGTAGAAGACCTTACATATCCTGTTTTGGTGTCCTTGAGCAAGACTGAGTGGGAATATATCGTGGGTTTATGTATTGCCTTGCATTCTCTACACTGTCCGCCATTGTCAAACGCTTTAGAGACCAGGACTGAAAAATATTAAAAGCTGAGTGATGGAGTAGAATTTTTTTTTACATTATATAGGGTCATCGGTGCTTCCAGTAGCTAGCTATTTAATTCATGTTCATATCTTGAAATTAACGCACTAAACGTTTTGATTTGCGCCTGACTCCAAAGTGTTGTGGTTTCCACATTTGCCTTATGAGCAACAATCCATGGGTGAGTCCTGGGAAGAAACACAAATTCTTTTAGGGTTACAACAGGAAGGACCAACCCAAAATACCCTGCCAAATCAAGCACGCAACACTGTGATGTGCTGTGGCAAGCCTTTGTCAAATTAAGCAGCAGCCAAAAGTAGGTTTAAAGGTAATGGAATGAGTGTTTTACCAGAATTGACAATCTGATAATAATACATATTTTTGTTTGACTGGCTACTTTAAGTATTTTAAAAGAGCCAGAATGAGCAGGATTTAGAAATTATGTTACCCTTTCAGCAATGTTTCAACTAGTTTTTGTATGTAACACCAAGCATGTTTTCAAAAAGTCAAAGTGTGTCAAGACTACAAAGACAAACAAAGCTTCAGAGTTCTTGGAGGGAGATTAGAGCAGCGAGCAGGAGGCAAAGAAAACTGGTTTTATCTACAGGCTTGAAGGTGGACATTCAAAACACATGTTCAGACATCACATTTAGACCTTAGTTGCTTAGAGCTAAAACACCTAACCCACAGTAGTACAAAACTCTGACTGCAACTCTGGCGAATGGAAAAATATTATGACATTACTGCTGATACATAAGCAATTATTGGCCGAGGCCTAAACAAAATGAAAAGACAATGAATCAGGGAAAGACAACCTGTTGCCAAGAGGTATTCGCGTTGCCTTACACGGATGAATCTGAGTAATCTTTGTACAAGTAAATATTCTATTTTAACATGTGGACTTGTGGAAACACAAGTAAAAGATTCATGCCTGTTGCCACTTTTCCCTTCTCCCTTCACAAAGAGCCATTCTCATGAGTCAAGATGTTTGGAGCTGTTTTATCAGCCATGCTATAGCATGGGTCCTTGAGCCAGTCATACCAAAATGAAAGACAGACATGTAGAAATCCTCCAGTGTCTTCCAGAATAAATATAAAGATAAATATAAGGAATAAGACAAAGAAAAATAAGGATTTTTGTTAAACTACAAGATTACCACTTGTTTATCTGTTTGATTAAAAGAAAACAGTCTTGACTGTTAGAGAAAAACTGCAAGGCAGCTCAATGTGTGCAGTTAGCCAATGGCTTAGAGGCCTTTCCCATGTTTTCTCCAAGGTAACCACATCACGACATGTTTATGCCTTTGTTTTGGTAAGTCACAGTTACTCACGGATGATCTTTAGCATTCAGTGTACCAGGCTAGTCTCACAGAAACATTTGAACATATGTTTTCAATTCAAGATTCAAGGCTCTTTACTGTCATTATGTAAGCACATATTAAGGCAATATAGCAATTCAGGCATCTTATACATCACTTTGTTTACCTGGAGAACAAGTCCCAGGTCTGTCACACAATGCCTTGTCACTCTGATATACACCTAACCAAGTAGTTTTGGTGACTAAAATTAACCAATCAGTAACAAAAACAGTAGCAAGTTGAATACAATGGGCACAAATCTAGCTTTGTGTCCACTGTCAAACCACTTTCGTGGATCAAAGACTTGACTTCAAGTTCCATCACACCAGACATCTCCATAATTAAAATGTCTGCCTTTCTGTGCAACAGGATTGAATGTGGATGTCATTCTTGATTTTTGTCAGCTGTCCCCCAAATCCAATTAAAAGCGTCTCAAAAAGTCAGTAAGCAGCGCTTGAGTTTAGGTCATTTTGTTAAACTGCTTTTTCTGACAGTCAAACAGTTATTCCTATATGAAAACGGTAAGTGTGTGAAGTGTCGGGGTCAAGCATTCAAGGCCATCATAGTACAATTAATCACTGTTACTAGTAAATACAGCAGAATCTTAATGCTAACTTTGGTCCTTTTTTTAAGAGTATACATGAATCATACTGACTAATTTGTATCCAAGATTGTTGGGTCAGTCATAAATATTAAGTGAAAGTGTTCCACTAGGTACCAGTATATTTTGCTTATAGTCACAAGAAAAGCCTACTCAGGCGATAATACGACCTCAGTTCATTAACTCATCTGTCCTGGAAATTCTTTTCTCCTCTCACTGTTGTTAACTTTACCCCCGTGTGAAACCTGGCTTCTAGATGAACACCACCTGACAGGGTAAGACGGCAAACCCATTCATCCTCCCCCATCTTTCTCATTTGATCCTACAGCCTTGGGACTTCAAAGCCTATAGGCCGTAGAAATGTGGCTGTCTATGCACCATCCCAAACTAACAGCTACAAAGGATTTGAGTTACACCCCACAGATAATGCCTAACAAGACACGGTCAGATAGCTGTATGGATACTGCTAATTTCATGGAAATTCCTGTTTTTGGACAGTGATGGCAGCAGGCAGGAGGCCAGCTTCTCCTCTCTCTAAATTCAGTGTGAACTGGATCTAAACTGGCAGTGATTTGGAGGATTTTTTCTTTCTTGAATGAGCTGTCCAGTAGAGAGTCCCCAGCATTATTCATACAGTGCAACAATTAAATCATCAACAGGGGAAGGGGAAAAATATGTACATTATTCATATCAGTCCTCCAGGGGGACAAACAGTCAGAGCTAATGAGAGGCTGAAGCTTTGAAGTCATGGAGTCCTCGGTGAGGTGAATGGCATGAATTAAGTACAATCATCAGACACATTTTGCTCTATATGAATATCTTCTAGATGTCTAATTTTAGCTAATATTTTGTCTGTGTTCTAAGTTTTTATTAGGAAATTTGAATATAATTAAGTCCCTCTACCCCATTATCTACAAGGTCAGGCTCAGTTCCATTTCAGCACTCAGAAAGCTGTGGGAGAGGAAGTAAATTTAGTTGAAGGTTAATATTCTATGGGAATATATGTTTGCAAACAAGATGTACTTGTTGTCAAGTGGTGTGGAATGGATACATTGTATTTTCCACTGTTCAAATGTGAGAGAAGTGAGAAGGGTTTTTGGTGAGCAAGTGCTTTGCTAAATAGAGGAAGCAGTGCCAGCCAGACTTGACCCCTTTCCCTGGCACTGCTGTTGCCAGCCATCCTGCCCTGTGCCATGCTGATATGCTATCTGCCCAAACAGATGCCCGCTCTGGCCTCACAGCGCCACTCTCCGGTCTACCACTTTAGTTGTAGCTGCCTGCTGATGTTTTGTCCGCCCTAGCGCTCTGTTTCACCCTTGTCTCACCCTTGTCTCCTTGAAGAGGCACAGCGGAGAGATAACTAGACCAATGCTGACCTTCCTGTTCAAGGGAAGCGATTTGCTGATGAAAGGTCTGCACGACAGTGGGGCCAGACATGACATAAAGACATCCAGCAAGAGCACACGTGGTGTCTAAACGATCAGCTTACCGCCACAGTGAGCTTTCCAGGACCTTGGTGGAGTCAGCGTGGTAGTACTTGGTTAGGATAAGGATGACCTGCAAAAACACATGGTGGAGAGAGAGACATTTAGACAGTTATTTAGAGAACTTTTTAGTTAGTGAAATTAGAGCTAAGTTTTAGGTAGCTGCGATTAGACTTACAAGCAGCTGCCCAAAACCTCAACATGATGACAAGGCGAGGCTTTATCTGCACTACTTCAAGTCACTAAGGTGGACTTAGTGATTCTAGTTTTTTGTACTAGTAATGTTCGTCGTGACTAATAAACTAGCTGTTTAAAGGGGAAAAAATCTGATCTGAGCATAATCAAACAGATTAGGTTAAAGCTATTTGAAACTATTAATTACACTCATCTATAATCAATATAGATCACTTTCCACAAGCTATAACACTGCAAACAGCAACCACACCCCGTATCACATTAGTTAGCATTAGCTAGCAGTGTGGCCGACCTTAGCAGTGCTTTCACCTGCAGTCTTTGTTTCCTGAATGATAATGTCCATACCTTCATGCAGACTGTGGTTACACATGGTTTTGATTGCATGGTTATACGTGGGATTATTCTGACACCAGTGACATACATCATTTTTTTTACATCAAAGCAATGCAGAACCAGGCCTCTAATCGCATCAGTTTACTTTTCTTCACACTCATTTATAACTTGTCAGAGAGAGAGGGAGAGAGAGGCACAGTTGTATTTCAGGCTGCAGGTGGCAGGTTTGTGGCAAGTGGCATCACAATATCTTTGACCCAACGGGTAACTTCTACATGAACAAAATAAGAATAATGCATTTAATACACTAACAGGGTAACTAGGAATTTTAGCCTTTAGATTTGTGTGGTTAAATGGCAGTTATGAGACAATGATCATGTTATGGAGAAACGCAAAAGTAAAGCAATGAGTAAAGTGTAAAACAAATTGCTTTCTCCTGAGAGCAATTGAGGAATGTATTGCATTATTATTAAGAAACGTTTTCTGTGTAATTTGTGCAATACATTACCTACATTTTGAGTAATGATCCCAATACTGACCACAGCAAAGAGCGGAAATAATAGTAATGGATTGCATTTATATAGCACTTTTCGAGACCCTCAAAGTGCTTTACGATTCCACTATTCATTCACTCTCACACTGGTGGAGGCAGCTACAGTTGCAGCCACAGCTGCCCTGGGGCAGACTGACAGAAGCGAGGCTGCCATATCGCACCATCAGCCCATCTCCAGTAGGTGGTAGGTGAAGTGTCTTGCCCAAGGACACGATGACCAAGAGAGACAGAGCCGGGGATTGAACCGGCAACCTTCCGGTTACAAGATGAACTAACCAACCCTCTGAACCACCCTCGCCTGACCTTCAACATACAAATATTTAACCACACAGCATGCAATTCATTTGCATAAATGTAATTCAATTCAATTCTATTTATACAGCACCAAACCACAACAACAGTCACCTCAAGGCGACCTCACAATAATACACCCCAACAATCACATTACTCCATATGAGCAAGCACTTTGGCGACAGTGGGAAGGAACTTCCTTTTAACAGGAAGAAACTTTTAGCAGAACCAGGCTCATGGAGGGGCAGCCATCTGCCACGACTGGTTGGGGTGAGAGAAGGAAGACGGGACAAAAGACATGCTGTGGAAGGGAGCGAGAGATTAATAACAAGTGTGATTCAATGCAGAGAGGTCTATTAACACAGAGTGAGTGAGAAAGGTAACTGGAAAAAAATACTCATGCGAATGCTCCAGCAGCCTACACCTATTGTACCTCAGGGTCACCTGAATCTAATGCCTTTGATATGCTGCTTAGTGGTGGTGACTTAGAGTAACTGAGAACCCGATGAGAATTGATAAGGAATCAAATCCATAAATGACATCAGTATTGGAACTGCTAAATTCGTAATAATTCCCATCCCAAATTATATCGTGTGTAATTTTCTCCCTTGTTTTTTGTCACTTTTGTATTGAGGCTCAAACACTCTTTGAGGGAATGTTTTTAATCCATACTTATATTTGAAAGCACCGCTGGTCAGTCAATACAACTGCATAAATGTGACGAATGAGTGGCCACTATTGAAACTAATCTCTCATATTCCTTATTTCAAGCATATGCAACCGCAGGGGAACTCCATCTGCACTGCTGCTGATTTTTATGCTGAGTTCTGCTTGAAGCTGCTTGGAGAAACTATTACCCTGAACAAATAATAGCATTGCTTGCCACTTTGCTTCCAAAGAGAGCAAATACAAAGCTTTTCTCCTCCCCTCCTTCGTGCACGTATGAATTAGCTTAAGCAGATTTTTGGGAGGGATGATTTGAAGATGAAATGTTTATTTTAAGTTAAATATAGATTTATTTTGGGCTTAGGGGACAGTTATACTATGGTTCTGATATTTCTCATAAAATAAAAAAAAAGATTAATATATATATAATATATATAATATAAATTAATATATTACTCATATGGCCAAGACATTTTGATCCAGGGCATAATCTGTGTGTGTCTGCACTGGATCAGAGATGCTTGTCTTTCATATTTTTTAGAACTCCTGTTCTTGACATCAAAGTCTACTGGGATTTGTGTTGCCATGGCAAGAGTACCAGTGGGTCAGGGATCACAGGAGGGCCTGGAGTTGTGATTGACAGGCTGGCTTACATTTCGAGGAGCAAGTGAAAATCCCAAGCGTGTCCTTAGGCAGAGGGGACTTGATTGGCCAAGGGGTCCAACCCACAGTCAGCTGCCAACAGCAATTCGTGAATGTGGCTGCTCTCAGAGAATCAAGCTGCAAACTGTACGACAGACTTTCCTGATACATCTTAATGTAGAAAGAAAGCACAGTCTGTATCACCATATTTTCTGTGGTGACCATACATAATTTTGGGTTTTATTTTCAGGTTGAAGGTCCTTGAATTTTTAAAAAACAATGACTGAAAAGACTGGGTGGCCTCTAAAAAATGAAGCAAGTACAGGAGGCAAGCGTCTGGTTGATTTCTTAGTCAGATAGGATGAAAGCAGTACTGTCTTGCTTGGCTGACTTAATAAGATGCTTGGCTGCAGGCCAACCATTTTATCAAATATATTTTCATCCCTGTCAGAACATTTAGCCTCATAAAATACCCTCTAGCATAAAGTAATGCCCAGAGCTTTCATAATGCCCTCTTGTGTCAGGAACCTCTAGCATTTAGGCTATGGTTAATAAAAAAGAAACACTGAAAATTTTAAAAGTCCTTCCTCTGAGGCATGGCAGGTGTTTAACTGTGTCTTGAAAGACTTTTCGTTGGTTGGTTTAGCTGTGGAGCTCCACAGCTGGGGAGAAACAGAAGCTTTGACTGTTCTACACCAATTTCCACAATGCAGACTGCCATCAAAGCCTCTCAGTGGAATCTTGAGGTGCTTGGCTCAAAGCAACCCAAACTCACGAGTCTCAACCCCAGTGGGGCTTGGCTTCCAAAGATGTTGATGGATTCCAGAAAACTGGAACAGAGGACATCTCCTTGAGCTGCAGGCTGCTTCCTGGGACTGATAACAACCCTGGTAGCAGCTTCGGTGTCAACGCCCAAGCTGCTTTCTGACTTTCACAAAAACTTTCTTTCCTGATGAGGGATCAGCATCCATATCTGACTGAGCATTCGTGTGGCCCTCTGAGTCACACAGCATGTAGCAAGTGTTCTCCAATTGCTCGTTGGCCTACTGTGACTCAAGCGGTGTCTCTGGAAACAGGCTGTCCGCCTCTGCACAGCTGTCCTTGTCCTAATGAGACACTGGTGCAAAGCTTCACACTCTTACTATGCAGGCAGATAGTCCCTTGACACAAGGATTAGATCTATCGTGCAGTACACTTAGTACTTTTGCTCCCCAAGCCATTCTTGCTTTTTTTTTAATCATTCACGTTCAAGCCTCCGGCTCAAGCCTTTGTTTTTATTGTAATATTGATTAACTTTTTTATATTGTTCATTAGATTGCTGAGAATCAAGCTGAAAGCTCGGCCCAGAATCTAAGTTGTCATGGATACACATCCTAAGATGCAGCAGGCACGTTTGTGGGCACCATACAAAAAGGTACTTTTACCTCTGCTTTATTTTATATCGTCTCTTATCATGTCACTATCACTATATTGATTTGCAATACTGGAGATACAGCAGAACAGCTTAACAATACATAAAAGCACAGCGAATTGGTTTCGTGGTTCAGCCAAGCGTTGCAGCGTATTCTGTCAATACATGCAGAACAGACATCATCTCCCAGAGCTAAGTTGGAAAAGCAGATCCTCATGAAAATGCATACCTCTACAGCCTTTTGGATTCTTGCTCACACACAAAATACATTTTGCCTGCGGCTTCTGAGTAAGCCCTGTCTACATTATACATCTATAATTATAGCTTTCTAAGAGTGGCACACATCAATTCCATCCACTGTCATGTGCATGAAAAGGAGAAGTGAAAAGAAAAACATCTTAACATCAGACCTGTTAGTCTTAGGTTTTCATCATTCATCCACATGGCCGTGCCAACAAAATATTCCGTTTTTTGATCCCCCTGTAGTGTCAGTCCTCAAGGCCCACATTCTGTTCAATTGGAAAATGATTTTTCTTTGGGGATGAAGTGGACAGGGCAAGGATGTATTTGGCTATAAATCACTACTGGCAGGAGGCAGGGAGAGCGTTTATTTGGCAGTAGCGTAGCTAGCCACATTGACAAAACTGCAGAACAACACAGGAGCCAGATGCTTGTATTGCCTCTAGTGTATGGAGCAGTATGTTGACTATGACTACACTTGGCAGATACAGCGCATTGGACTAAAGGGCAAAATTGGCAAGGGCTAAGAATCCAACCAGAGCAGTATGAAAAAAAATCCTCGTCTTTTTAGAAAATACAGCACAATGCCTGCCAGTTGTAATTCTATTCAAATAAATCACAGAATCATTGTAAGAATCAACAAGTACTATAAAACACGTCAAGCTAAAATGAGCTGGGAGCCTATTTTCTTCATGAGTAATGACAGAAACGTGCCTCTGTATCCTCGACTTAATTCCATAAT